TCTGTCACTCTGTGCCTGCCTGTCTGTCTGTCACTCTGTGCCTGCCTGTCTGTCTCTGCGCGCCTGCCTGTCTGTGCACGTCCGAGGCTTTCCCCTGCTACTTGTTAGTGAGGCTCCTGCATTGCACCTGGTCACCCCAAAAAAATGAAGGGAGTTTGCACAGCAATTAATCTTATGGAGGATCTCCATTTCCTTTTCCTCCGATGTGATTTTTCTGTTTCTGTTGCATCTCCAGGTACATCATTGTTGTGGAACATGACCTGAGCGTGTTGGACTACCTGTCTGATTTCATCTGCTGCCTGTATGGGGTGCCCAGCGCATACGGAGTGGTCACCATGCCCTTCAGCGTCCGTGAAGGTACTCTTTCAGATTTTATGCCCATTATGGTCATGTTTGCTGGATAGGGTTATCTTTTAGTTTTTTCCCAGTCAGAAGTTTTTGCGGCGCTGAGATTTTCTACATCTGCATGCTAACAAATACATTTACAGTTTATTCACCATTTTAGTACCTTTATTAGCAAGAAAATATCATCTTTGATTAATCAAAATTGACCTCCTCTAGCAGTTATAACAGCAGAGAAAATCTGAGGCATTCTGCCTAAAAGGGACAGTGTCTGTTACTCTGTACCCTTGTGTCTGCCTGTGATGAAACGGTTAACTATTGCATTTAAACTTAAAAGACGGCCATGAATTTGCTGTCATCACACAACCAGTTAATAGGATGTCAGACAAGCACTGTTACATACTCTTTCCATGTTATAAAGGAAACGTGTTTTATTTCACTTATTTTCATTTATAGTTGTTCACTCAACTTTCCAATGCTTAACCGCAATAAAAAAATCTGCAGTTTATGAAATCAATAGAAAAATGGTAAAAACCTGTGGTGTGTAAAAATGTTTTGACTGGTCGTGCAAGTTGTTGGTCTGTCCACCTGTGCTCTTTAAGCATAAATATCACGTTTGAGGGGTAATTAAGGCTAAGCCTCAGTTGTTCTGTCCCGATGGCCCGCGCCGCAGGTATTAACATCTTCCTGGACGGCTACGTTCCCACGGAGAACCTGCGCTTCCGCGAGACGTCGTTGGTGTTCAAGGTGGCCGAGACGGCCAACGAGGACGAGGTGAAGAAGCTGTGTCGGTACCAGTACCCCAACATGAACAAGGCCATGGGGGACTTCACGCTGGCGATTATAGGGGGGGAGTTCACAGACTCGGAGATCATGGTCATGCTGGGGGAGAACGGTGAGCACGACTGGCTGGGGTGGGAGGTCTGGTTCGGCACTGTCCTTTTAAAATGCGGCTGGTGCTTCTGTGGGAAAGGAACCTTGATCCGAGGTGGTGTTTTTTAGGAACCGGCAAGACGACGTTCATCAGGATGCTAGCGGGCCGCCTTAAGCCAGATGATGGAGGTGAGCGGCCTCACGGACCTCTTGCAGACGGATGGGTTCAGTTTCTTGTTCTCCAGCCAATGATGTGTAATATTCCGCCACGTTTGACATGCTGTCGTTCTCAGGGGAAGTTCCCATCTTGAATGTCAGCTACAAACCGCAGAAGATCAGCCCCAAGTTCAAAGTATGCCGCACGTCGCCTGTCCTGTCCTGGTTGTGTCTCCACGTTTTTGTCTCCCCTGGTCATGTGATTTCCCAATCGCTGGTCTCTTAGGGAAGCGTCCGCGCGCTGCTGCACGAGAAGATCCGCGACGCCTACACTCACCCGCAGTTCATCACGGACGTCATGAAGCCCATGCAGATCGACAGCATCATTGACCAGGACGTGAGTGTGGCCGGGGACACTGGTGGGATGGGCCGGGGACACTAGTGGGATGGGCGGGGTCCATCGCTCAGGACCAGCAGGGCCGCGTGTGACGACTCCTCCTCCCGTAGGTTCAGAACCTGTCCGGCGGAGAGCTGCAGCGAGTGGCCCTGGCTCTGTGTCTGGGCAAACCAGCTGACGTCTACCTGATCGACGAGCCGTCCGCCTACCTGGACTCTGAACAGCGTCTGATGGCCGCCCGGGTCATCAAGCGGTAGGTGCCATTGGACGAGATTGTCACCGCCAGCCGTGCTCGGCTAGTCACGGCCGCAAGTCACTTGCGGATTTTACTACCATCGTGGCCTGGGTGGTACCTCTAAATAGCGCCCTCTGGGGTGGTACCCCTAAATAGCGCCCTCTGGGGTGGTACCCCTAAATAGCGCCCTCTAGGGTGGTCTCACACTATTGCGTGTTGAATCATTTTATCCAGGTTCATCCTCCATGCGAAGAAGACCGCCTTCATTGTAGAGCACGACTTCATCATGGCCACCTATCTAGCCGACCGCGTCATCGTGTTCGACGGCATCCCGTCCAAGTGCACCACCGCCAACACGTGAGTAGATCGGACCGGATTTTGGGGCATTGCCCGGCGTTACAGTACACTGCTTTTCCCCACTGCTCATATAATGGCTCTGCAGACATTTTTTATGTATTACCACCATCAAATTAATTATTTTTTTCATTATGCGTTAGACACAATGCTGGTATAAGTGACATGTCAATAGTTACCTGTCTAGTTATTGTGAGTCGAGCCCTGGTGTAATAATGTTGCATTAGTTATTCTTGAACTTCCTTGGTGACATTGTGTAATTTGGCTCCTCTGTCGCCCGTGCCAGGCCTCAAACGCTGCTTGCCGGGATGAACAAGTTCCTGTCACAGCTCGAGATCACTTTCAGAAGAGACCCCAACAACTTCCGACCGCGGATCAACAAAATGAACTCCATCAAGGTAGGAGTCCCGTTCCGGCTTTACGTTTTGACCTTTGACCTCTTGCGCTCGTCTCCATGACGATGGCCAGTGAGCCCTCTCCGTTGTTGTTTTCCCCTGCATTTTTGCGCTCATATTTCGCTTTCTGCCGTCTTCAGGATGTGGAGCAGAAGAAGAGCGGCAACTACTTTTTCTTGGATGACTAGGCGTCTCCGGTGCTCACGGTTTTACAGTAACTGCCACACTATTGCATCACGGTGCAGCCCTGGTCGCCCTTTGGATCACACTGTCCACCCACCCCGCTCCTATGTTTGCGGCTCAAATCTGCCCTGCCGTTTACGGCAGCGACGGGAAGGACGGTCAGCGGGAGTCATGACCCTTAATTTTAAGTCAGAATCTTATGAATAAAACCAACTTTCTGAACTCCTTTTTTTTTTTATCCCTTTAAAATGGTCAAATGAGGTTCGGAGACATTTATTCTGTTGCAGTAAGAGTTATGGGAACATATGAATACAGAATAAAAGGAAATATATATATGTATTGATGTATCTGAGCATTTCCCCAAGAGTAACCTTAAGTAAAATTTACTTTGCTATGTTTTATGTTATAATTTTCTGTTGGAAATCACCTGCGCGAGAATGGAAATTTTAAAACTAAAAGAAAAACATCCAGCACTGCAACACCTGTTACTCGCTCACATTGGAATATTTGACAAATATGATAAATATTTGTACCAAAGATGGTGTCCATCCCAAGGTGACCTCCTGCTCGATAAATGTCACAAACTGAACTCGGCGTTAAAGGTCTTTCCAGACCATGATCAGCTGCAATGTTATTCTGTCACCGGGAACCAGGCAAAGATTTTCATTTTCAAAAAAATAAAAAATACAGCTCTCAACTGTATTTTGAGTGGTTCTTATGTCAGATAGTCTAATGCAAACTTAGCCATATCAAAATCCTTTGAAAATAACGATAAAAACTTGCGACATAAACAGGTATTAACTGTATTATTGATCGATCCTATATGGAGGAAATGTTGGTTGATGGTTTACGACGTAATTAATCTAGCAGAAATACGACTTAATGATTATGCTGGATAAGCGTTTCAGCTGACGAACGTGCATATGATAAAATTCTGTCAAATTGCTTGTGTTACCTCTTTTCGTCACTAGATGGCGTTTGGTACTTCATAGTCCCCGAGCGGAGAATGACAGCGATAATGACATTGGATAGGTAACTTTGACTTATGTGACATTTTATCGTTGCGCTGGATTTTCTCAAATTACTAAATTAATAAGACATATTGGTAGCAACAGCATGACTTAACACCGGCAGTAATTCTTTTCTATTTAAGAATACTGAGATGTTAATACATCTTACCCAGCATACGGCTAAACGTGGATTGTAATGTCTTTCATTGACTGATCAGCTAAAAACTAATGTTGCTTAACAACAGCATCCATTCGGTGTCTTAACGTGATTTTTTGCTCTGACTGCGAGTCAGTTTCTTTCAATAACAATATTCAGTTTCTCGCAAAGCACTATTGATCCAGTGAGTAACTGCCGCAGCAGCTCCGCACTTTACTGTTTCTGAAGTGATCGTAAAAGTAACAGAACAGTCTGTCCATTTGGGGGGGGGGGGCGAGCTCTGAAATGGAAGATATGTTAAGAAGTCATTGCTCTGCTCAGGACTAGGCCCAGATCTATTGGGCTGAATTGTACTGCAACGTCCACAAAAGGTTTATCGGGGTCCAGTTGACATAGAAGCAGGCCGGTCTGGGGAGGCAGAGAACGCCATGGCTAATCGCTGCCGATCGATGACTCCGCACAGGCACCGTGGACGGAGCCCGGGTTATTGGGATGCGGGGAAGAGAGTGCCCCAAGCCGTCCAGGGAAGACTGCACACTGGATTAGATGTTAACAGTTAGCGGCTATGCCGGCGATCCTTTCCAAGTTCCAACCAGACACGTCACGTGGGCGGAGGGGGCGTGACTAGTGACCAGAGCAAGTGACAGTGTTTGGTGACGGCAGCAGTCAAGATGTATGTGCCGCCCGCCAGTCCGCCCATCTAAACCAGTTCATCTAACCGGGAAAGAAAGTAGGGGGAGTTATAATTTGTTTCACAAACGATGCTATTTTATGTTGTATAAAATGCCTTTAATTGTCACTTGTTCTATATTCATATTCTGACGCATGTGAATGAAAATATATTGAATAGTGCATCTTTTTCTACTTTGATTCTATATCGCATAGCACATCTTATGCGCAATTCACGTTTAGTTTTGGGGAGACTCCAGAATAATCTAATAACCTTGTATTTCCCCGCTTCTATCTATATACACTCAGTCCTATTGTGGATGTTTAGTACCACCCCTCCCCCACCCCCCACTGGGCGAAAAATTTGTAAGGATCTAATTTTTGCCTTGTGTTCATTTTTAAACAGACGAGATGGCCACCAGGTTTGTTTCGGAACATGCTCTATTTTTGCCCTAAGCTGTGTTTAGAACACAATGCAGGAAAGGGTGACGTAATGCTCCTATCACTTACAACACTCTCTCCCAGATGTACAGGCCTCTCGCGGGGGATGATCTCATCACCTTCTATTGGAGAAACATCTGCTGCATTTTGTGTGCAGTGAAACGTACGGGCGGCTGCCTCGGCGCAGTGAGCCCGGCTGACAAAAGCCTCCTCTTCTGACCAAGATGACGTCTAATGTCTTGCTCCTCGCGGATGAGTGACCCGCTGCCATTAAAACACGTAAATCGCGAGATGCATCGGAGTACATTTACACGGTATTAATGCAGATTTTGTAGAAACGATAACAGAACAGTTTATTGGCACATAAAAACCAGTGTAGCTGGAGATCTAGGGCCTCGAACTGGCGCCCCTGCACATAATCACATTGGCGATGGACTGTATTTGGTGCAACACAAACCTGCATGATATAGGCCATGAGGGAATTTTTCTGTCATTAGAAGGTTGTTCTCATCACCTACCAAACAGCCGTTCAAGCACAGTCCCCCCCCCCAGTGTCCCGGACTCTCTGGAGCTGGAATAATCAATTTCGACGGCATCTTGCGAACTGAAACGCTTCTTGCTGAGGCCTGAAGGCCCGATCGCTGATCGCCCGCGTCCGGGCCTCGACGCTGGGGACGGGGATGGAAAGGGTGGCGACCCTGCCCGATCATTTGCCCCCTCGCACTGAAGGCGATGTCTCTATAAAAAGATCACTGAACAAGCAGCACCCTCACACAGCTCTTACCCTTTAATGAACGCTGTAAGGACGAAAATGTTTTCTCTACTGCTGATTCTGAATGACTCCTTTTATCTACTATACCATTCTGGCATTACAATTACAGCTTCACTAAAAATCGTCAGTAAACAGGTGACTCTTACAAAGGCTTTATTTTGCATTTAAATGGCATTCCTCAGACTGCTCCTGTTATGTAGTCTAGTATTTGGTAAATTATTTTAGTCAGTTACATATAAGCCTATAAGCATAAGAACAGGCTATAGATTCCATAAATCAGTTTGACATACATCTCATTCAGATTTTTGTATTATTCTTTGGGCTTTCGTTTGATTACTGGATCATTTGAAAATTTTACTAATTAAATATTCTGAAATACAAAAATACAGAACACCACAAACAAGAAAGCGTTCCTATTTAATACAGCCAACAACTGTATGCAAACTATTGAAATAGTGTTCTAACAGCTGGAGAGCAGGTCTTGTTCTGTATATTTCATACTTTTGTGGGTAAGTCTAAATCCCGTGGCGCCTTAGGTAATATTGTTGCTATTTGACACGCCCGGCATCGTCTCGGGCTGCAGAATGTGTCTTTTCAAACTGATTTCCGAGGTTGTCATAAAGTTATTGTGCGACCAATAACATATAAACAAATTCGCAGAGCACGAGACCATTTCGGTTTTAAAGTTATAATAGTGGGAGATTTTGATCTCGAATCACGTCCATGTGAAACACACATAATTCAAATATTTCTGAATTTTAAATGTGTTTCAGACAATTGCTCCTGCAAAATTCTTAGTCTAATTGAAATTCTTGTATCTAATGCAACACCAGAATGTTGCGAACACTGTACTAAATGCATGGGTTTATCGTAATGAGACACCCATGCACGGAAAGGCTGACATGTTTCGCACGGTTACAGTGTGGTGGTTTCGGTCGCGGTCTCTGTCCCCTCCGCTCGCGCCCAGCTCTCGGCTCGCGCTGTTTTCCCACATTTCACATTCACGTGCAGCTAGCACTCCGCCTCACTCAGACATTCTGTCGCCAGCCGCGTGACGTAACCTGCGCTAGGAGCTTCCACTCCGAATTGTTTCCCTCCGCCAAAAAGCAATCTGCTGGATAATCTAGTCCCAAAGTGATATCCGCGCTTCTTGTTGCCAAATTAATGCATAAACTTACCATGCTCCAATTTATTTAAGATGTTGCTAATGGTGCATATGAATAATTATTAAAGTGGCGATTCCTTCTACAAACATAAAGGTTTAGGCTATATTTTAGATCAGTGACATATCGTAGGATCAAAGGCAGGGAGGCTCTGTTTGTTTATTAGAACTTAAATAAATTGTTTTGTATCCCTCAGGTTTATATCATAATCGATAACAAACTATTTTTGTAGGAAATTTATGTTGGTTCGTAAGGTTGTCAAAGTACCCCTCGGACATCCATATATCCAGATACTTCAGTACTTGAAAACTGAATTTTTCGTACTACGCGGCGGACGGATTTACCTTGCCAAATACTGTTGAAGCATTTTGTTCGATATGTTAATGTGTTACATTCCGTCCTTTAATTAAGGTAAGCTTTACACTCATTACTGAAACTGCACTTCGGTCTGCGTTGCTGCAGGGTAATCGTTACATTTTTACAACTGTAAATTAATAACGAAATAAGGTCTTCATAACAATCCAACTGCACCAACACATAATTTTTTTCAATTAACCATGGTTACTCAGACATGGACTGTAATGAATTATAAATATTCATTAGTCATCATAATATTATTAGCTCAACTGGCCATCAGTCCACCAGAATTTTATGTGGCATATATAGGAAAAAAATAAATTATATATATATATGTTTATTTCATAAATATATTAAATAAACGTTATTTACTATGGTTATTTACTATGTGTAATTGCCAATAAATATACGTGTCCTTTTAAAAAAGGTCGGTATTTTCCTCATTTAATATAGATTTTGATTTGATATAGGCTACTGTGTAGAACTGATCTCGGAGGCTGTGGGGATGTTATCCTTGGATAGATTTCTTTTAACAGTCCACTAAAGCAGAACAAGCCCAGAGCGAAGTTCCTGGGTTTTTTTATGCAACGATTAAATAAACATAAGATCCCATTTGTTGTAGTTGAACTGCACAGATATAGTTTAGCGGCTATATTTATGCTGCACATGCACTCATAGTCAACAGCGTCGTATTTTTGCGGTGAGATAGATTATTTTGTTATACAGAACTTCACTTGGCAGCTGTTATTACAGTACGTGTAGAAATACAAGTAGCTGTTCATTAATTCATCCACCAGATTCTATTCCACGAAAGCATCAACAAATATAGTATAAATACGATGCAGTAAGTTATAAATAACTTTCTTCGAGTTCACGATGACCGATAAATTCATTGCTGATGATAATATTTTATATAAGACAGTATAAAAAAAAATCAATTAAACGAAATTCAATGCAGGAATGTTTTTTCTTTCTCTAGATAAACAGTCAGTCTGCTGGGGGGGATTCTGTACCTTATAAAAGTGGGCCATGTTCTTGTCAATTATCCCTTGGCAAGTCACATTATACTACAGGAAGACGTAAAAGGATAAGCTTGTCCATTTAATATATATGCATATTTAATTAGAG